TTGTTTTCTCCTCCAGATTGTTCATCCAGCCTGTCCTATCCAGACAGGCCTGCGGAGACAACATGCATAAAAACAAGACAGAGCAAAACCAAGGAGACTATAACTCTTTACGAGAGTAGGAAGCCCCATCTTCCTCCCTCGGAGCACCGGGTGGGTTCTAAGTGCTAACTTTGTGATCACAGGCCATCGCATAAATACACACCCCAGGCTCCTTCACCAGGGCTATGGAGGCTCGAAACCAATGGTTCCGAGATGATACTCAAGCAAGACAGTGCAGACGGCTGCCAAGTGGTCTCTAGCCCCGTCTGGCCCTTCTGTTCTTCCCCAAGACATACCTGTAGACCTCCCATGTATGGGTGAGAGTATGTGAGTGTTCATATATGCACCATTAATCTATATGTGTCCCACATATATACATATTTTAAGAGAGAGAGAGCAAACGTACCCTGACTGACAACCTGCCTAACTTAAGGCAAGCTATTTACACTCCCTATATATCCTTTAGGAACCCTGGTGGCATAGTGGTTATGCATTAGGTTGCTAACTGCAACGTTAGCAGTTCAAAACCATCAGTTGCTCCATGGGTGAAAGACAGGACTTTCTACTCCCGTAAAGTTACCTTCGCAGAACCCACAGGGGCCGTTCTACCTTGTCCCATAGGGTCACTGTGAGTTGGCATTGACTCGATGGCAGGGAAGTGTATATTTGGGGGAGGGGGACACATCCACTACTTTACTATAAAATGCCCAATGGTACGTCCATTACTTTGCTAAAAAAAAACCAAACAAACCCTGGTAATAATAGTACAGAGGTCCTGGAAGAACTGAACGAGCCGTTGGTGTGTTCGTCAGTGGGTGTGTTTCACCTTGAACGTGCCTGGCACGTGGTAAGGAGTAAGAAAAACAGTGATGATACGCAAATGCATGGAAAACCCCGGAAAGATATAACTACATGGTAAACAGTAGCTATTCCTAGGAGGTGGGATTATGTAGGATGTTTGCTTCTCCACTTGGATAGGTTTCTGTCTTGCCTGAGTATTTTATATTAACTTTGGTAATGGAAATATATCTTCCATATGCATAGAATTCAGTCAACGAAGACCCAATGTTTCAAATTAATACGATGGAAGACACGTGGGAAGTGGCCTGGGTTTCTGGCAGTCTGAACACAGGGGGGGGTTGTGAGGGACAGGAGGGAGAGGGGAGGTTGTGAGGGACAGGAGGGAGAGGGGAGGATGTGAGGGACAGGAGGGAGATAACCCTAACGGGCACACACACTGCAAAAGACAGACTCTTTCCTCACTCCCCCAAACCTGTGTCCCTGCCCTGGAGCCAGCTGGAGTCAGCGGTCCTGTCTTCTGACCAGGCACCCAAGACCGCCCCTCACACAAACATGGCATGGCCCAGCCATTCACACAAGCTGCTTCCAGGCCCTGTGGTGCCTGGTGGCTGGCAGCTGGCAGGAGAGTGAGAATGAGGCCAACGGTGGGTTTGGTCACAAGAGTGATTGTGATACACAAAACAGCTAGCAAGTTCTTCTAAAGGCCAAGGCTCTGCTGCCCACTCTGCCCCTCGCAGTCAGCACTCGAGATGAGTCTTTAGGAAAACCAATAGGCTGTGCTGATAGTCAGCACAGGTTCCCAAATTTATTCGGCTTACTGCTCGGTCTCAGGAAAAAACCCAAACCATTCAGCGCCCCACTGGAAAGTCAAAACTTTTGTATTATAGCCCCAAATGTAAGCTAAAGCATAGGTATCTGCTTTTGGGTCCCCCTACATCATCACAGTGTCCCCCAGGGGGCACTATTGCTCACTCGGTGAAACATTGATGTATAGCAGCAGAGGGGAGGGTCTGACCCACTGCTGGCCACACAAAGGCCCATGAAATTATCATTTCACGCTGGGCTGCTAAGGAAGGTTTGCAGAGTGCCCCTGCTCTAGTCAAGACCTGCAGCCTCGGAGACTCAAAGGGGCAGTCCTCCTCTCTCCTGAGGGGTCACTGAGTCAGCATCACCTCCCCAGCAGTGAGGCTGGTGCGTGTTTCACGGTGTACATCGCATTTCATGAAGGAGCACGTGGGTAACTGAGAAATGAGTACGATGCGTCATGGAGAAACAAGTTCATCATTTTTCCCAAAACCAAGCTCACTGCCATCGAGTCGAGTCTGACTCACAGCGACCTTACAGAACAGGACAGAACTGCCCCTGTGGGTTTCCGAGATTGTAACTTTTTATGGGACTAGAAAGTCTCATCTTTCTCTCTCAGAGTGGGCTGGTGGTTTGGAACGGTTGACCCTGCAGTTAGCAGCCCAATGTGTAACCACCACTACACTACCTGGCCTCCTTTCACTTGTTGGGCCCTGATTTCAAGAGGAATCTTTCAGTGTTTCCCCCCGAAGTATACAAGGCTTTCTGTGCTGTAAAACATCCCCTGCTGTTATTGCCCCTTTTCTTTCTGGTAAGGCTTTTTCAAAGCTGTGTGCTAAGGACAGAAATGTTTTTGTCATTTAGTGGCAGAATAAAGGGGTTCTCATCTAACCTACTGGGACGATTAGATCAATTCCGAGCAGTGGAATTCTTGGGTCAGTGGGTCACAGAAAAAAGTCCAGCACTGGCTCATGGGAACGTGAAATGGCAGAGCGCTCTGGCATCGGGCGCTAGCACTGGCTCATGGGAACGTGAAATGGCAGAGCGCTCCGGCATCAGGCGCTGACTCACCCGCCAGAAAGCTGCGGTGAACAAGGATAGGTGAGGAGGCCATGTCAGGGAGATTGCATCTGGACAAAGGTGCACACTTCCGTGAGAGCACCAGTCCTGCTGAGTGGCGGCGGTGATGCTCAAAGTGTGTCCCTCCCAGAGCAGAGGCCCTCAAAGCCCAGCATGGCAGCTCAGGCATCCAAGTGTCTGACGGATCGGGTTGCACAAATAGCCTGGTGCCTGCGTGATTTCTGTTCCCTCCTCTTCGCTCTCTCTCTCACGTGTAGTAGGCCACCCCACTTGGTGAGCCTTGCAAACTGCAGCAAGGAAGTGAACGGTGGCTGGTCCTTCTGTGCATGGGCACTTGGCCCTGGGATAAGACATTTCATCAACCCACAATCCTGGCCTTTTATCCAAAGGGTGAAATCCCTAGTTCCCGGGTCCCTTCACCCTCTTCTGAGAGGCAGCATGCTTACCAACCTACACCATGCTTGTCCAAGAGGCTTCCATATTTAAAAAAGCACCGAATGTAGAGCGTATGCTCGACACAGCTTTCTCTTCAAAGTGCCAGTGCTACCCCTGCTCCTCTCTGTAGACCAGGTGTCTCCTGGCTTCTGTGGCCGGAGACAAAGAGCTATTCCTGCTGGTAAGTGCCACAGGACCATGCTTCCCCTGCGTTGTGAATAGTCTGCTAACAAAGCTCCCACCAGCCCAGGACGTCTGGGTGATCTAGTCTCATTACCCTATCTATTTACAACCCCCCCGAAACCAAACTCACCCCAAGGTCTGCTATAAAGGAAGAGCATTAAAAGGAACCCCCAAAAGGTCACTCACCTTTCTCGTGGTTGCTCGGTGGTGGGGGCGGGGAGGTGGCTGGTTTGGACTTGTCGTAGTTGTTAAAGCTCTGGCTGCGCCGATTGTTGGCAGCGGCTGTTCCTCCCCGGGCTTTGGCCTCATTGCCTGCAGCGGACACCCTCGTGGTAGGACCTGGGAGTCTATGTGAAGAAGAAGCAGCAGGGTCATGGATTCAGTCTTGGGAGAACAGCAGTGTCTCAGGAGAGCCTGCCACCACTCAGGGGGGAAAGAAAGACCCCAAGAACGCGTGCAGGCACAGGCTTTGATGGAACCAACATGGACACCTAGGCTAGTAACACCACCCGCAAAGTCCCACAGCAAAATGTCAGCTAGTTTCCTTGAAGCAGAGAGATCTTGAAGTCTAAATCTATGAACATGTTTCTTTTCTCCTCTGGGATGGGTATTTTCCCATAGAGCCAGATCATGTCATCTCTGATAACAACCCCGAGTAGGGATAAGGGATGGGGGAGCATAAGGGCCTGAGAAGGCTCTGAACTGTTTATTTTGTGTGTGTATTTCTTATAGTAGGCATTGTTTGCCAAAATCCAGGAATTTAGGTATAAAGAAAAGGATGTACTTCACTATCAAAGAGGGAAATGCTAGCATTCAGAACCCCTCAGATCTACACGGAAAATGTGTATGGCCTTATTGCAAACACGTATCCAGACATATATTTTTCATCAACACTTGACAATCTGTCTTCTTGGGCCTTCAAGGCGAGCTTTGTAGATATATAAAATCGTGCGTTCATTCTGTAAAATCCACAGAAATCTGTAAGCTGAAGATAAACACACACTTCCCCTTTAAATAAAACACCTCAATTTGGGTGGTTCGGGAAATAAAATCACCAAAGTTCTCTATGCCTCTAAAGATATGGCCCCTTCCCCAGTGAACTCAGAGTAAAGCTCCCCAAATTAGAAGTGTGGTCCAGGCCTTTACTGTTTCCAACAGGCAGGCTGCTTCCAATAATTAAGGCTGAGAGATGAATACATGATGAAATATTTAGTTAGATCTTTCAGTTAAAAATCCCCTCAGCTGTGTTTATAAGCCAACGAAACCTCAACCGAGTAACGTCAGATCTAGTGATAAGGCTGACTTTGCAACTCACAAAGCTTTCAGAGTTCTCTTTCCATGCTAATCCATACGCACCAAGAAGTCCAAAGTCTGGAAGCGTTTTAGATACAGGCAGGCAATCGCTTTAAACTGACTTGCTGGCTGAGCAAGAAAGATGGTCGCAGCATAAACAGAGAACATGAGAGGGTGTGAGAGGATTGTAAATTTTACACAGTTAAGAAACTGGAACAATTCCCTGCCTGGGAGTGAGGAGAGAGGAGAGAGTTTAGTTCTTCCAACATATGGCAGTGAGAACTATAAGGCCTTGCTCCCCAGCACACCAGAATGTTCCCCTTTGTTAATTTGCCACATCTTCATAGAAGAAGATATTCACCCCATAAAGACAGGCGCAGACTGGGTACAAAACCAGCCATGCTCGTTGGCTACTCATCCAAATGGAGACAGGCACACACTGGGGTATGAGAGCAGACATGCCCAGCAGAGCTGGCCAAGGTGGTTCGGCAACAGGATCTATCTTGGCATCTGTTGGTGTCAATAGGATCCTACAAGCTCTCCAAGTCAGTGGTAGCTGAGTCCTTCTGTCCAAACACGGAGCTGTGGCAGGTGTAGACTGGGGGGCGGGAGAGGGTCCTCCGAGGTGGACTTAATCAACCCATCCAAATACTGCAATCATCGTAATGCCCACAAACAGGTCTGGAAAAAAATTACGAACTTCTTCCGCATGATGCCACAGCAATGGGATTAAGTGTTACAGGGTAACAAATGCCACAGCATTCTACCCCAGAAGGGGATTCTCAAAGAACAGAGAAACAGGCAAACAAATGCAACCAGGGAAGAAAAAAGACATACGTTCTCTTCAAAGTCTGGAGAACTCCTACTGCTCTGACCTAGTATTGGATGACAGACAATTTCCAGGACAGCCCAAGTCCCTTATGAACGTAAGTGACCAAGGCTCAATGTGTAGGCTAGGGTGCGACACAACCAGGTGGGCAGTCTGGTCCCCCGTAAGGCAGTATGGTATGGATGGAATATGGACTTTTCCCACATGTGTAACATTGGATCGTCCCATAGCTTCTCTCACATCCATGTTCCTCCCTTGTAACTCGGGGGGGTGGGGGTGGGGAGGGTTAAGAATCCCAAAGGGATCATTGTAACTTTGGCATAAACTAGACTTTGTCATTGATGAAACTTGCCACAGTACAAAATAGTAGCAGACTTAAAAATAAAAGGAAATAAGTGACTCTCCCAGGAAAAGGGCATCATGCTTGGAAAAGAAAGGCAGCAGAAAAGAGGAAGATGCTTAACCAGATGGACTGTTGACCCAGTGGCTGCAGCAATGGGCTCAAATGTAGCGATGGGGATGGTGCAGGATGGGGCGGTGTGTCTTTCTGCTGAACACAGGGCCACTCTGAGTCGGAATCAACTTCACGGCACCCAGCAGCAGCAGTAGCAGGTTAAGGTCTCAGAAGAGGTAGACGAAAAAGCCAACAAGAGTCAGAGATCAACAATTTCAAAGAGCCAAGGCAGGCTGCAGCAATCAGGGCTAACTGCCGACCCATAGTGCTTTCTCGAGGAGGAAGTAGGTGGTGGCTGTGGCCCCACTCCTGGAGAGAGGCACTCCTGGTGTTCAGTTGACTAAGATAGTGCTGCATTTCCCCAGAGAAGTCATGGTCACAGTCCCACTTTCAATGGGAGCAGTATATCCTTCCCAAACTTCTGGGTCAAGGTCAGTTTTCTGGGACATTGGAGAAGGAGTTCATGAAGCCTTGAGGGAAGGCGATGGTAAATGGGGGTGGGTGCTATATCTTTAGCCACCCAAAGTCAGCTCAACTCTAAAGCCAGCTCCCGACACCTCCACCCCCACCGCCAGTACACCTGATCAGGGCAGCTCCCTTTAATCGAACAAATGGGGAAATTGGGTGGAGACCAAGTGATTTCTTCCAAGTTTCAGGGAGTCTGTTGATTCTGAGGCTTAAAACGTGGGTTCTGTGTAAATGAGCTTGGACTGTCGTCGGACGTAAGTCCGCACTCAATTCAAACTCTCTGTCCTCAAGTCCGTTTTGATTCACTGAGATCCTCCAGGGCAGACAGAACTGCCCCGTGGACTCTTGAGGCTGAAAATCTTTATGGGAAGAGACAGCCGCAGCTTGCTCCAGCAGAATGGCTGGTGGTTTCCAACTGCTGACCTTGCTGTTAGCAGCCCAACAACATGACCCAGGGCTCCTAAAGCCCCTCTAATTCTCTGAAATCTTTGACAGAGTCTGCAGAACGAAGGTGTGAATGAATAAATGTGCAGTGGATGAGAAGTCAAGAAAAAGCAAACGGAATCCCCACAGAGGACCGAGACCTGCCTTGGGATGAGGGGTGAATCCAGTGTCAACGGACAAGGGCTGGACTAATGCAGGATTTCAAAAACAAAACAACGCCCCCCCCCCACAAGAACCTGAAACCTCCAGGGGAGGGCACTGAACTGGCCACAAATTGAAGAAGCAGGTCTGAGTCCATCTTACCTAGATCTTAGAGGGCTCGGTGGACAGGTAGGTTAGGTACAGATTGATAAGGGAACACGTAGAACTCAGAGAGAATTCAGTGAAGGGCAATGGTCCCAGAGGCTGGTGGAGGTGGTCAGGGAAGGTTCCAGTAACAGGGACCCCCGAGCAAAGTTTGGTGGGTGCAAAGGCAAGGAGAAGGCAGAGCGTGTATAGGCGGGGTAGTCTGCTGACATTCCGAGGAGCGAGTGCCTAGTCTGCACTGGGATCTGGGGGGTGGCAGAGCGGGTATAAATGGGGCTGAGAAGCCAGCAGGGCGGAGTAGGGAGGGCTTTGCATGTCACACTCCCAATCTTGGACTTCGCCCAGCCCCCTAGTCAAACCCCAAACCAAACCAAACTCCCTGCCGTGGGGCCAATGCTGACTCATAGTATCTTACAGGGCAGGGTAGAACTGCCCTGTGAGGTGTCTTCACAGGGAGTAGAAAGCCCTGTCTTGTTCCTGTGAAAAAGTAGCTTGTGGTTTTGAACTAAGGACCCTGTGGATCGCAGCCCAACTTGGAACCACTATAGCACCAGGGCTCCTGTGCTCTCTAGCAAAAACAAAACAAAACCACCAACCCAACCCAATCCACTGCCGTGGAGCCCAGGCTGACTCAAAGCAACCCCCGCCTCCCACCACCATGGGTTTCCAAGACGGTAACTGCTGATGGGAGTAGAAAGCCAGGGCTTTCTCCCACGCCTCTAGCAAGGAGGCATTCATTAGGGAAGCTGAGAGTGAGCTGCCTGTGGAAAGCAGAGGCTCTTCTGGTTGACCAGTGGCACAGACCGGAGGCCTCTGACTAACATTTTGAAATTAATTACTGTGAGCATCTCTGGGTACCATGGGCCCTCTGATCCAACCCCAGCCCAGCAACACAGGCTTTCCTTTGCTTCAGAGTCCCTGTTTGCTGAAGAGCAGGCTCCTGTGCCCAAGTAGAAGCCTTAGGAACAACAGCTGCCACCCACGGTGCCCACCACGCCGAAGGGGACCAGCAAAGGGGCAGCGGAAAGTCAAGCCAACCTCAGCTATGGGACAGAAGCGCCCAACAGCCCCTTCCCGAGAGGAGCGCGGCCTCTCGAGGTCACCTCCCACCCAAACACAATCACAACATGGCAGGGGACACAGGAGGGCTCTGAAACAGACACACGCTGCTTTCAAGAAATTCAAGAAGGGCTGTGACACAGAGGCGGGGGAGAGTGCCCGCTGTCACTCAAGTCAGGCCCAGTTTCTCCAACCCGCATGCACAGAGCTGCTGGGCGGTGGTGAGGCCGTCACTCCTAGCACACAAGCAGCCATTGCTCAGGGGCTGTCCGCCCCAGTGCTGTACTGCTGGCTGGAGAGGAGAAAGCAGCCCTTCCCCCCAGAGCCACTTCCAACGCTGGGAGCAGAGGGGAGCCGACCCCAGGACGGGCAGCGCTGTGTGCGCAAGCTTAGGGACTGGAGGTGGGGTCCCCATCGGGGACGCTTGATATCAAACAAGATGATGAAATGCTAGCTCTCCCACTTCATGGCATCTGCTTTTCTGCAGCTGGGCACAGAGAACTGAATTTGTAGCTCCTTGGGCACCTTTCTCTAAGATGGCTTTGTAGGAATCAACTCTGTAGGACTCTCCAGTTCCCTTTCCGCCAGCATCTCTATCTCAAACCCAATATCTTCAACCTCAAACCACTGTTTCCATCACTAACCCAAATCCCACACCATTGAGTTGATTCTGGCTCGAGGCCACCCTCCGAGACTATCCATCTTTGCCAGGGCAGCCTCCACTGACTCCCGTGGAGTAGCTGGTGGGGATGAACTGCCGGCCTTGGGAATAGTGGTCCAACGCTTAACAGGCAGCATCACCAGGGCACCGCAGTTGCTACTAATAGTACGTGGACTATTGCTGGACCCCACACCACAGAGCTGCTGCAAATGACCAGCATCTTGATAATGCTGAGACTGAGAAAAGCACCTTCTCATTTTGGCAATAAGGAAGCCTACGTTCGTAGAGAGGAAACAATTTGCCTAAGATAGTGGTGAAGAGGGGCTTTCACTTAAGACCAACTGCAAAAGGGTGCGCTCAGCCGCTGGGCTGCTCTGCCTGCTCTGCCTCAGGGAGAACATGCCTGGCGACCTGGGACTCCATCAAGGCCACCAGGGGTAGCAATCATAGGGACCGAAGGCAGACCCTCATGACATTCCTTGTCCCCTTGCTGATTTCCTTCAGACTGTACTCCCAACACTCCCCTCTCCCCAATACCAGTCCAAGGACAAGGCTTCCCACTGTGCCCAGCGTTCCTAGGGCCTACCTACCCTGGTGCTTGCCTCAGGGCTGTTCCCTCAGTGCTGGCACCTGAACAAGCGAGCTAGCTCCAGAAGTCTCACTCAGCCAAGAAGGGGAGGGTTGTTTCTTTTGGCAGGCAGATCCTCCTGGTAACTCAGCAGTGCCTGATCAGCTAAAATTCTTATCAGGATGTGTTTTGGAGGTGGGAAGGAGGGGGTGGGTGGAAGTCAAGGCATAGGATTAAGCAAATAAGGATGTAAAGAAACCAGATAGATTCCAAAGCAACTCCGGGTAAGGGGCATGCTCCTGAAGGCAGGCCAGATCTTGGTGTGTGGCCCGGAAGTGGGTACCCAGCACAGCCTGGGAGGAGACACACCCTCACCTTCCAGCTCCCCCTCCTTCCCCTGTCCCCCAATCAGGCCACCTCCTTCCATCCTATGGGACTAATAATGCATCTCCCAGGAGATGGGCATGTGCTTCCCATTAAAGATCTTCCCAGCCAGCTCCTGTTTTATCTGCCCAGGCTGAGCACATCTTGGGAATGCACACAAGATTCCAGGCCCACTCCTCCCCTTCCCTTTCCTATGAATGTCCATTTGCGTGGCCGGCAAATGAACCGGGACAAACCGATCTGCCAGTGCAGCGGGCTGTCTGTTTTGGGTGCACCTCCCTCTATAACAACTGTCAGCGTTGTCAACAGTTAACATACTGAACTGCGGACAGAAAGGTTGGAAGTTCGAGACCCCCATGGAGCACAGTTCTACTCTGACACACATTGAGTCAGAGTTGCCTCAATGACAACTCTCCTCTTCTGGGTGTACTAACTGTCATGGGAGAGGGGCCCTGGGGTGTAGTGGTTACCCGTTGGGCTGCAATCCGCATGGTCAGCAGTTCAAAACCACCAGCAGTTCCACAGGAGAAAGACTGGGCTTTCTACTCTGGTGAACAGTTACGGAAACCCCTAGGGGGTCTCGAGGAGTCAGCGGTGACTGGATGGCATTGGGTTTTGGTTATCTGTCATGGAGAGCAGCTCCCAGAGGGACAGACATGGGTCCTTTAACGCCCTCCGGGACCAAATCTAGGTCGCACGCTTATCGTACGGAGAAGCCCAGTGCCCTGTGTCTCTTTGTCTTCAGAGCCAGTCTCCAAAGCAGAGTCTCTGTGGGTGCGCTCTTAGGAAAGGCACCCAGACCCTCAGAGCGAGGCAGCCAGCAGACGGGCAGTATGCCTTGTCACATGAACAAAGAAGGAAATGAAGTGTGGGCTTCCTTTGGTTTTAAAGGAGAAGTCAATAAAGAATGCATCCTAGTCCCGATAGAGACGTTTCTGAGAGGGCCATATGAGGGCACTGTGAGGACAAAGCCCGGCAAGCAATGGTTGACAGCATGGGATGTTAAAGCGCAGCCCTCCTACCCCCACTACATGCACCTCAGCATTTGAGGGTGCTTAAAGGGAGGGTGCCTCTCCTTTCCGAGACCCCAGGTAAGCTACGCGATGACTCAGGTTTCCTTTCCTCCTGGGAAAAGTGGACTGCATGACGTGACTTGCCCAGTGAAGGCTGAGGTGAGCAGGAAGTGGAGGATGCAAAAGAAGCGCTTGACAAATGTCAGCTGTGCAGACGTTTATCACAAAGTAGGAGCAAAGCCGTCCCTGCCACCGGCACACTCAACCGAACTCTGAGCCAAGAGCACTACTGTAGTTAGTGCGCAGGACCATTCATCCCAGGACACGAGGGGATCTCTCCGCGGCGCACAAGAGCAGCCAGACACAAGGGGGAGACACGGCGGCCTGGCCGCCATGTCTTCAACAGCCAACTGGATTCATGCTTTGGGTCTTTGGCGCTCAAGGAAAACCAAGCCCACATTAGTATTTTTAAGGAACAAACCAAGCAGGACTACAGAGACGAGATGCAGGTGAAGGTGGAGCGGGGTTAGGGCAGAGCAGGGAGCAAACCCATCACAACATCACTACAAAAGAGCACCGAGAGACTCACCTCGTCCCCATTCAGAAGAAACTCAGAGGACAGAGCCGTGAAACCAAAATAAAGCGTAGCAACATTACGCACCTCTCTGTCTGTCTGTCTCTCTTTCATACACACACAGTGTTTTCCGCTCAACAATGAGTCCTTACCCAAAGCATGTTTGGTTTTCTTGAACTGCAAACATGAAGTGGGGACAGGGAGCAAAAGGAAGCTTATGCAGAGCACGAGGTCGGGTTTACAGCATGCTGTGTGGAACACAAACAAAATCTAACCTAGAGATCTTTTTCTGACCGAGAGTGAAGCGGATGATTTTGCTTTGAGATGAATCCTTGGATGGTGCGCTGTATGATAAGAAAGAAAGAAAAAAAAGTGGAAGAGCTGAGTGAGGAGAAGATGCATTAAACATGAATAAATCGAGTCTTCAGGACAAGGAGAATGATCCTGGATTTTTTTTCCCTCTCTGAACTCTTTCCCCCCAATATTCCTTCTAGGTCTGATTGGACACATCCCCAATGTGAAGAAATGGCTACAGATATTTTCAAAGAACTGTTGTTATCTTGATTTTTGTTTAAATTTAAACACCAAATAGCATTTCTGCTCCCACTTATTGTAAGGCCCTTCCCCTATAATAAAACCCTGAAACCCGGTTGGTGGGGGGCGCGGGGAGACAAAGGTGCAGTGTTCCTGACAAGTAAACAAACTTTGTACCTTTCTGAAATACTTAGACACTTCCATTTCTCAAACTCTCCTAGAGGTCTTTTCAGATAAGTATCTTGAACATACCATAAATTGACCCAAAACACAATTATACACGTTTGCAGATTTCGTTGCTCTTGGGAAGTTTTGCTTCTCGATGGCACAGAAGCCACCACTGTAAACCAGCTGAGCGTGCTAAACTCTGGGCCTTAGGTCACACATTTGCCTGCCTGAAAAGTTGGGTTGGACCTCATTAAAAAAAAAGTTAGGCCAGGCTGATTTACTCCCTTATGAGAGTAGAAGTACTTCTGTTTCTTGCTTCCATGTATCTTTGTCAGGTGTCAAAGGGGCCTGGAGGTGAGAATACAATCTTGGCTTTCCTCGTCTTAGGAGGGAAAGGAGGAGAATGGAGAGGGCACGATGCAGCATCATTTCTAGGCTTTTCCTGAAGGGCCGAATACTGTCAATCTGGAAGGCACAGCGGGAGAGAGGTCAGCCTGGGAGACGGCTCTCTCCTAAAGTGTGGGGCATGGTGAGAAGTGTCGTCAGGTGGCCAGGTACCTAACGGGAATTGCTGGCGTGAAGGGGTCAAAGGCTTTCGGGAACCATCACAGCCACTCCAGCTCCTCCCGGCAAGGCCTCGTTTCCTTGATTCTCCACCTTTGTGTCAGAGCTGCCGTGTTGCATCTACAAGGTGCGGCTCCACTCTGTGGCACACGGGCTCGCCATGCGTCAAAACTAGCCCACCGACAGCGGGCTTGTTAGTTTGCGAAGAGAGAAGGTGGGGGGAGGGAGGAAGGAAGGTGCCACTGTGAGTGCTTCTCAGTTCACGGTGGTGGGACATTAATTTGGAAAGGGTGGTGGGTATGGCTGCACATTATGACAACTGTCACCCATGTCACAGAATGGTCCCCATCAACCATGTTGAATGTTTTCTTACATGGGGGGTGGGGAGGGTGGGGGGGTGTCAAAAAGCTTGTGGGGAAAAATGGACTGTATCTACAGACTCTTGGGAGCCCCCTCGGATGTATCTTTACCATCGTGAGCCTTGCAGCGGAGGAAAGGTTGCCATGTCTTAGTGTTTGCTACCCCCAAAGTGCGGACTGAAGTGGCTGAAAGCAGAGGACCCACACACACCTGGCATTCTGGGATCGGAATCGACATTCGAACATGACGATCATGGGTTCAAGCCATGACTCTTGCGTTTTGGTCATCAAAGACAGAGTTTGGATTCGAGAGCCAACAGAACGGAGCCAGTGCACTGCCTAAATGCACAGCCAGGGTGTCTTAGTGTCGGAGATCTGTATCTCCCGGTCTGGATAACTCGTCCCTCTGCAAGGAAAACGAGGACGTCTCAGTCGATGACAGACGCCAGAGCCACGGAACTAGTGGTGAGGGGGCCATACAGCAACTCCGAAGGCCAGTCCAGCTGGCCACATGGCAGGGTGGCAGGCCGGCCGTGGGGTCGGCAAACACGTCGCAGCTGGAATAAGCGATTGCCACAATCTGGCTCCAATCAGCGTGGCTCTTCTTCCGGTGAAGCATTTATTCATTGTTGGGTAGTTTGTTTGTTTTTTCCCTCCTGGGAGCTGGGCACCCTGACTGGAACATCTGGTTCCTTCGAGCAAAGAAACACCTGCCATGGGAATGGATGCCCGGGCTAACCCCGCTCAGTGCCGCAGCGCAGCCCTAAGCTGAGCTGCCCAAAGAGGGAGGAAGGGAAGTGCTGAGGCCGGACGCTTTCCCCGCCGGTTCCCCGCCAGATTCCCTCTCTTTTCTTCCTAAGACCTGTAACTGACTAACGGTACAGGTCAGGAAGCCAGGCTTCCGCCAGGATGCCTTTTCTCTCCAAAACATACCCCGCATGGTCCATCTCCTTTCGCACCCCCCCACCCCCCCACCCCCGATACTGTCATCTTCTAAAGGACCACAGAAGTCTCATAAAGTAGCTACTTCTTTCCATTCTTATGCCCCAAATCCATTCTCCAAAATGATGAAAAGTGATCTTTTAAAAACGTACATCCAAACCATCTGCTCCTCGACTCAAGACCCTCCAGCAGCTTCCGTCACCTTGAGAAGGAATTCCCAGCTCTCTACCCAGCAGCCTCCAGGGCCTCGGAGCTCCAGCTCTGCCTGACCCCGGGTGCCAGTCACACTGTCTTCCCCGTGCTGGGGGCTTCCCGTCTCTCGCTCCCCCCTTCACATTCAAGCCTCCATAGCTCGCCAGCCTGACCCGCGGCACCAGCTCTTCCCTCGGCCTGGCCTTTGGCACTTCCATGCCGCTCAGAGTGACATTCCCAGCAATTCAATCTCCAGTAGAGGCCCAGTGCCTGCGATCTCATCACTTAACGCAGCATCCATGGCTTCTAGTCTCTTCTCCCCTATGTACTGCATGTTTGTCTGCTGCTTTCAACAGATTGAGATGCTTGGTTGTCTTGTTCCCCTAGGCCAGGCCCGGCACATGGAAGACTGTGTGTGTGTGTGTGTGTGTGTGTGTGTGTGTGTGTGTGTGTGTGTGTGGTGTGTGGTGTGTGTGTGTACGCAGATGAAAGACTGAGTTCACCTGTGTCACAGTTTACCAGAGCTCATTGCCAGCCCCAGGCCAGGCCCGGCACATGGAAGGGGTGTGTGTGTGTGTGTGTGTGTGCAGATGAAAGACTGAGTCCATGGAAGGGGTGTGTGTGTGTGTGTGTGTGTGTGTGTGTGTGTGTGTGTGTGCAGATGAAAA